GCGCATTCCGGACCCCTCACTCCAAATGGCTCAACGATTGCCTCCATCCTCGAGGTGGCAGTTGAAGGTCCCCAGCGAGAGGAAGAATTTTTCCGGAAGCCGGAGAGCGAAGGTGCCGTGCTGACCCCAACTGACTTCGGGGTTCTTTGTGGTGAACTGTGGATTCGTCACTTTGGGCGTCGGTTCCGCAGGACCTACAACAAAGAACGAAAGCAGGGGCCCAGCAAGCCACGCCAGGCACGTTCTGGAACTCTGGCTGCAATTGTCAGAGGCCGTGAAGCAGCCGCCGCCGAGGCAGCGAAGAGAGCAGAGGCAGCTGCTTCGAAAGGCAGGTCGTGGAAGCCGGCCTCTTTCGTGCCGGGCTTGAGCCTGCCTTTGCCGGCAGCGTCTGCCTCTGCCCAGAACAGCGTTGCTGGCACACGTTGGGCTTTCGCCCGCCCCACACCAGATGCCCTCAAGCATTTGGAGAATTTCCGTGCACGCACACAGCAGAAATATGACGGTGACTCAGCAGCACAACGGTTGCTTTCCGTGCTAAGTCATTTGAAGTGTCATACACATTGTCATTGTCATCCAGCCAAGGTCACCAAGAGGAAGCGCGGAGACGATCCTCTGGCAAGATTGCTTACACAACAACGGCGGCACGGCTTGGCGGTTTGCGCATGGTGCAGCACGGCCACGAGAAGGATCGGTCATCCGTCTTGCAAAGCATCCTCCGCAAACGAGCTCTGAAGCTATGTCCGGTCTATCGTCGCTACACGGACAGCAAGTCGCTGCAAGGCAACAAGCATTTCCAGATTCTTGGACCGTACGAGTATGAATCCGCCGATATCCTGGTCCTCGAACAACTGTCCGATGTGGAGACGGTCCGCAGCGACCGACTGGTCCCAAGCTTTTAATTAAAATGTTTAAAAGTCGGATGATGCCAGGCTTAGATCGTCACTGCTGGTACACGTTGACGTGTTTCATCCCAGGTTCCTGCCTTGATCATTGCGTACGGCTGTGGCAAAGTGCTTGTCTCCAGGGAGGCGATTCTGGCATACTTGGACAATCCGACAATTGATGCTGAGAAGTCGTTCTTGTCCTTCAACACAGCTGCAACTTCGAGGCTGGTCGGCCTTGAGATCGCCAAGAGCTGTCAACTGTTGCTCGGTGGCACAGACACTGAGGTTCAAGGGTTTCGGGTTGAAGGGTTTATTGTCTAGGGTTGGGTTTGGGTTCATTTAAGTTCAATCAGTCAGGACCCGTGCCATCGTCGAGGCCCTGCGATTCTGTGAGAAGTTGCCCCAGTCGAAGTGGCGTGTTGCTATCGGCACACCACTGCCCACTCAATTTGCTACCAAGAGGCGCACCACCTACAAGATCAATGGAGAGGCCGATATCTGGAATTTCCTCCGCCGTCCGCGGGTTGTCCCAGAAGCGGACATTGTCCGGTGCTGGTGTACAGATGAGGCATTTGCCCCCCAAGAAACCCAAGAAAGTTCGTGCGTCATAGTCCTGTACTGCAGCAGGTAATGACAGTGCTCTTTGGCTCCTTGGCTCCTTGGCTCCCAGGTTCGCAGGCAGGAATTTTCCTGGGGTCGAATCATTTTAAGTCTAGTCGTTCGCACAGGAATGTACGGGGGGCCTGTGTCGCAAGGCAGGGTTAACCTTGTCTGGGGCAGCAGGTGCCTGCAACAGAGCCTGTTGCAAGCCCCTGCTCAATACACTGCAGAATTGTGTCTTGCCAATCCGGCGTAATGGCCAGACAAACGCCGGCAATCTCACCCCCTATCCCCTGATGTTTGTTTAGTTGCGCTACAAATGGCATGCATGCAATAGCCCATGCGATTGGTGCCCAATTCCCTGGGTAATTGATACGTGTCGCATTAGTCCTTGTGCCAATAGCCTTTCCTTTCATTTCAATAAGGCACGGATCAGCCCGCCAATCTGCCGGCGCGCTACATCCAAGCGGGTGTTTGATGCATCCAGGTCCTCGGCAGCTTTGTCATGCATGCAGCGTGCTTCTTGCGAGTGCATCCAAAAGAGCAAAAGAGGGTTTCACGTTAGCAGTGCCTTAATGATGAAAGAAGCACCTGTCACCCTTCAATGAACACGAATGACCCTTCAACGCACGCAAATGACCCTTCAATGCACATGTCACTTGTCACTGCATTGTCTGAGGCTGTTGTCGTCGACAAGCTGGACGTCGAGGTGCAGGCCCAAAGTCGTTTCATTTCAGTCATGGTTGGCTGTGTGGCTGAGTTGTCAGAACATGACAGTTGCATGCGACAGTGTGTTGTGTCAGTCTTGCCATGTCACTATCAGCATCTGATACGAGGCTTCTGCGGCAACCGGCTCCAAGGCTCCCTGGCTCACATAGGCTACTAGGGTTCCCACAAAATGCCGGCCCTCGGCTAATGGCTCGCAGCCGGATCCTACAGGCCCGGCCCGCCGCAGATATGGCACTTCACCAGCATCACGTGGTCCCATCATCACGACCGTAGCGCCGGAGGAGAACCTCAAGCTAGAGACCTCAGTCTCAGAGAATCTTGTCGGGCGTCTCGGTACCTACCGTCGCCCGCTGAGGCAACGTGACATACCGAAGATGTGGAGGCGCTCCTCCGAGTTTCGAGACAGGAGGTTCGTCTATTAAACAGAGTCACGCGGATACTACGCTTCCGTGCCTTGTTTCTGGCGACGAAACTGGACGCCATCACATGGCAGCGCAAGGAAGCCATGCGCAAGTTGGGGGCGGCCCCGTCTGCTGCAGACAAGCCTGGGAAGGCGAAGCTGCGCTCATCGCGCCGCCAGCTGACAGAAGCAATTGGGGAGACCCAGTTCGTGGTTCTCACACTGTTCACCAAGAAAAATCTGGCCGAAGCGTGCTCTGCAAGAGACATTGTGGTGGAGGATGGCGGCTACTATGTTCCGCTGTTCTCGGATCCTTGCCAGGATCTGCCTTTCCACGACGAGGCGAACTGGAGCCTTGAATTCGAGTACATCGGACGCCAGGAAGTCTTTTCATTTATTGTTATTTAATTTTATATTAATTATAGGCTCAGGGGTTCAGAGGTTCAGGGGTTCAAGGGTTCATGGGTTTAGGGGTTTAGGGGTCCAGGGTATTGCGTCCGATCAAGGCACGTCATGGTGCAGGCCACGACCAGCCGCGCCTGGCAGACCCTTGCACCCGGGCCCGACCTTGGCGGGGGTTTGGGCTTCATGTGCTACACGGCGGTCAAGTCGGAGGAAGGCGGCGGCGGCGGCTTCGACATTAGCAAGGAGGACACATCTGCCCTCGTGAACTTCTTGGCCCGGAACCACGTGTTCGCTGCGCAGGGGGATCCGTTCCTTCCGGATCCCGGTGCATCCCTGTTCCCGGTTTCTTCGTCCACGCACGCAGCGGCCACGTTGGGTTTTTTTGCCCTCAAGCAGCTCGACATGGACATGCTCGAGTTCAGCTGCGAGGGCGTCATCAACCAGTCCCCGCCGGTTCTCCATCCGATGGGGTACTTCTGGATGCTCAAGGGCAATGACCTGGCAGAGCGGATCCGCACCGGCAACTTGAAGGTACGCAGGTCCGGGATCGAGATGGTCATCGTGAGCATGAGCAACCCCAGGAAGCACTCAGACATTCTGACATTCTCCTTGAGGCTCAGCGCTCCAAGCTGGTGGAGCACAAACGGCGCTTGAAGGAACAGGTGGACGTCTCCAACAAGCAGCTCCGCCGCGACCAGGATGCCCTCGCTGCCGTTGATGCCCAGCTGAGGCGTCTCCCAGGCTCCTAGGCTCCCAGGCTCCAAGGTCCATGTGGCGCCGGCTTGGTGTCGTCATGTTTAGATGACTCATCAGCAGCATAGTAGGATTTTGATGCTTCCTTACTTTGCTGCCAACTTGATTTAAATGGACATGTAAAGCTCAATCCGCTCGTCGACAAACTGTGGCAGGGCCCACGACTACAAAGGACCGCTGTCGACGTCAGTTTGTGTTTGTTTGCAGCATGTCCTGCAGTGCAGCAGTCTTATTGCCTTGCGCTGCACCGCAAGACTCCAAACGGTTCCGTGGAAGGCTACTCGGCTCCCAGGTTCCCAGGCTTCTGTACTCGCGCTCAATGGCAAAAGTGCCGGATTTGCCCACCGACCCAACCGTTCTGAGCTCAGCATTTTTGGAGCAGTATGACGTGTGTGATGATGATGTGTGGCACGCCATGTGAAGCAGGCCAGTGCTCAAGAAGCCCTGGCAAACATTGTGCCATGGGCCCTTCGCTGAGTTCTTGATACCGTGTCCCGTCTCGCGGCTAACAGTGCTGCATGCCGTGCCTGCCCGAGGTCCGCAGCCAGCTCCCTCTGAAGTTTCCGCAGGCCAATCAGATGTTCAAGACACCGCCGCTTGCCATCAACGCAGAAGCCAAGATGGGGGATTTGACCGGATACAAGGCGGGCGCATGTCGATCAATGTCATTTATTATTGTTTGACCGTTGTCGTTTGTCAGGCTGTGTGGAGCAAAGATGACTGCCAAGCGTCCCTGACATCATCTGGACTTTACGAAGCCAGTGGCCTCGCGCTGTGGCTGGCCACCGAAGCTTTTGCCAGTGCGTCTGAGGATGTGTGCTGGCAGGATCTCCAAACTTTCGAAGACGCTTTCTTCTCCAAGAAAGTTGCTTTCAGCACAGTTGTATCGCGTGAAGCTGCCAAGAAGAAACAAAAAACGTCACGAAACCGGCTGACGTGGCCTTGTGAGATGATTGTCCTCACGGAGTCAGCATCTGACGTGATTCACGAAGAGGTCAACAGCTCGTTGCATCTTGCTAGCGGCGTGTTTGTGTTGTGGGCTTGGTACTTGGCCGTCTTCAAAGCCCTAGTCTCCCAGGACAGTTGCTGCTTGTGTTCACATGACATGACATGTTATTGATTCATCTGACTGATGTGTGCTTGCACTTGGCAGGACAAAGCAGTTTTGGAGATTTTGTGGGAGTGTGGCTGCACTGTCACGATACAGGTTCGCTTGTGTTCCAGCGCAGGGGAGATTGCGAAGAGTCGCAATCTTGCTTCAGAGAAAGTCAAGGCACTCGGGCACCCTGGCCTGTCCGACACCTTTTGGACATTTTCAAAGACTGTCCAGCTGCTCAAGGTCGAAAAAGTCCAGGATGGTGAGGAACAGAACTTGAGGTACAACAACACCTTGTACAACAAGGCCTTACACCAGGCTGCCACAGCAGCTGTTGCAGTGCTGCGGGGTCCATCCGGTCCCGTGGAGAAGTCTGCCCGGAGATTGGAGCTGGAATTTGGGCGGGGCATCTTGAGCAGTCAGTACTCGAAGTTGAGCAAGCTGTTATCGCTGACCAACAAGCTCGCATCTGCTACCAGAACCGCTGTAGACCTGACGGCCTGGATGATCGACTCCTTGACGCTGGCCCTGCGCATGAACATGGTCACGCCAGCGAAATGCACCGAGAAGTTTCTGGATCGAGACCGGAAGACAGGCGATGCTGGCTTTTGGTTGTCGCGCATGCTGGTGGTGCAGGCATTGTAACTATTCTGACTAGCGTGTGTATTTTTTTTTTTGCGTAGTGTTGCAAGTCATCGGCAGCTTGAACACTGACAGAGGTCTTCGATTATGCAGCAAAGCTGGCGAACAAGTTGCCTGAGCCGGACAAGGTTAAGCTGACAGGGATTTTGGCTGAACTCCGTTGCCCTTCCACATGTTGGGAGAAATATCTCTGCCATGCTGATGCTGATCAAGGGGCTGCTGGAGAGGACGACATGGACGGCGAGGACCCAGAGGACGTGGAGCGCCCTGTTCCGCAGTCCAAGATTGGAGCTGTTAAAGAGGGTTTCAACAAAGCCATTGGCATGCTTTTGGATTTGCTGCTGGAGCTGATGTCGGGGAAGTACTACAAGGATTGCTGCATGCTGGCTTCGAGTGAAGATGGCCTTGCAAAGGCATTGACAGCTGCACAGCTTGGAAGCTCGGATGACACTGAGCACGAGGAGCCATGTGCGCTTATCACTCAGATGAAGATCATTGTCGACAAGTTCGACAACAGCACGAAGTCCGTTGGTGCCACATCTGCGGCTCCTGCTCCGAGTTTGCTCCAAAGCCTGGCCAAGGCTTCTGAAGCTGACACACCCGAGGAATGTGTCGAGCGTGAGCGGCAGTGGAAGGCGGTGCAAACGGAACGCCGCAAGTTCGTGTCGTTCTCGGTACCGAACAAGATCTCGAAGGACTGCCTAGTCAATGCGTTCAGAGGTTGCGGCAAGGTCTTCACGCACAAGGGCACCTTAAACTCTTCGCACCGCCTGATCGTTGCCAGTGCGGATCTCTTGGCAGAGGCTGGTACCGACCCGTGGCTCAAGGGCACTCCGCCAAGCGAGGCATGGAAAGAGATCTGTGCCTTTGCCAAAGACATTTCTGGGCCCGAGGATTTCGTCGTACTCTTCGACGGCAGAATGCGGGAAATTCGCCGCGTGTCCGAGTCTTGGCGGGGTGATGTGACAAGGCTCCCAGGCTCCAAGGCTGAAAGGCTGCACCTGGTTCTTTAAGGAAGACCTCCTGCTGAACCAGCAGCACACCGAGGAGTGCACCATCGTGTACTCAGGTGGGTGCCCGCCGAGAACTGGTCGCACTCGCCGCGTTCCGCTGGCTGCAAAGAAGGTGGAGACAGGAGCGGTTAAGTTCCCGGTCGCACGCACCAAGATTCAGACGACGAAGAAAGGCTCCTTCACAGTCTGCGGCGAGGCTTCTACGTACCAAGGCACTTACTCAGGCGTGGAGTGCCGTGCGGTTTCTGAAATGCCCCTCGTGTCTGCAGACACCAAGAAGAAGATCATTGCTCCGGCAACAACCGGCGACCTCCCGACACCGCCAGAGGACTGGCAGGATCGCCACGGCTCCGACGTACCCTTGTTCTGGAACGAGTCGAAGCCGATAGCATATTGGAATGCCATCATTGAGGAGTTTTTGCGCGGAGGCAGTGTTTGACCTCACGGCTGGCACCGGTGCTCTGATGGAGGCTTCTTTGACTGCCGGCATCGCATACCACGGGCTTTGCAGCACCCTTACTTGTCCAGTAGATTCGTCAGATCATTGTCATTTGATTTTATTTAAATTATCCGAGGCCTCAACAAGGAGCACATGTCGTGGGTCCAGGCGGTTGCTGATCGCGCAGCTTGCGGAATGATGGCTTTGGAGGGATCCACTCTTTACTCGGACGAGAATGCCAAGGCGGTGAAGAAGCATTTCCCGCACGTTCTGGAGAGCTTGTCCAACCAAGACGACCAGGACGAGGCACCTGCTGAGCCAGATAGCCCCCGCGATCAACCGCAGTGATGATGTTTCACTTCGACCGAATCCGCCAGCTCAGGCACCAGCTCAGGCACCTAGGCTCCCAGGTTCTCAGGCTCTTGACCTTTTGCCGGTCTCAGTTTTGTCAGTAGTGTGTAGCAGTGACTACTGTCGCCTGAAAAAGCCGAAATGCTCTTATTGTGGCATGACATTGAAATAGGACTCGCCGAGGATGTTGTTGTAGTCGCCTGCATGCATTAAAGCGAGCCGTTATGGCCCCAGGTTCCCAGGCTCTGAGGTTCCCTGCTTGGGTTCGACATGGGCTGCCGATGGAGGCCTACCAGACGCCGCTGGGGCAAAACCAGTCTCAAGACGGCTTCTCGTCGGATGCCCCGGGGGTGCCAGCATGGTGGCAGCAAATCGCAGAGCTTGCGGAAGCAGGCTGTGAAAGACGGCTTGGTCCCCAAGGCTCGAAGGGGCTTCGTCATCTGGTTCCAGGAAAAATCCGAAGTCAAGAAAGGCGCTCCCAAGTCCAAGTTTCTCAATGAAATGAAGCATCTTGGCGCAGTCTGGCAGGGCATGACCGACAAGCAGAAGGCACCATTCATGGCGAGGAGCAAAGATGAGTTCATGGCTCAGCGAAGTGCACTGGCCGTTCTTGGCATCAAGATGCGGGGCTCCACGACCAGTGCAGGCGGCCCCGACGAGGCGAAGGACCCCCCTGCCGCTGACGAATCTGGCGGTCGCGTTGGCCCATTTGAGCTTAATGGTGCAAGGGCTCCAATTGGAGGCGGAGCCTATGGCAGTGTCTACAGTTGCCAGCATCCCCAAAGCGGCCTTAACGTGGCGGTGAAGGTTTATCGTGGCTCCGATGGCCCCGCGGATTGCAGGCACGAAGTGGAGCAGATGAAGCTTCTAATGAAGGCCGTGCCGCAGCAGAAGATGATGTGGTTCCCGCTTCTTGTCAGCTCGGGTGTCACGGGCAGACCTTGGCCATGGATGGCTACTAGCCTATGTGGGCCCAGCCTGGCAACCGCACTTCAAAATCCTGCGGCGCATGGCAAGCCGAGGACGTGGTCTGTGGCAGCTCAGCTGAGAAGTGCACTGCAGACCTTGCATGACGCAGGCATCCTACACTTGGATGTGAAACCTGGCAATGTTCTTTGGTGCCCTTGCACAGATCAGGTGCAGGTGTGCGACTTCGGCATGAGTGAGAACATGGCACGGCTCCAGAAGGCTTCTCAGGCTCCCAGGTTCCTGCAGTATGTCACGGCTGCCTATCGACCTCCGGAGCTGTGGCCCGCTCGTGTGAATGGCGATGGAGACTGCGGTGTCAGAAAGCAGCCGCTGACTGCAGCTGTGGATATGTGGGCCTATGCTTGCGTGGTGTTTGAGGTGGAGACCGGGAATCCCTTCATGCCCAAGGGGGAGGCCGGACTGAGAGCGTGGTGCAAGCAGTGGCCCGAGCTGTGGAAAACACGCAGCGACTTATCCAATTGCCCCGCTGCAAGTCACACGTGCTGCACAAAGGTGCTTCGAGCCGGTAAATGGGGGCTGTTTGTGTTGGTCGGCTGTGCTCCAGACCCCGGAAAGCGGCGGTGGCCGGAGCTCTGTCTGAATCAGAAATGACTCGACTGAGCCTCCATTTTTATTTGATGATGGCTCGTATGGTTTAACGTGTGTTTAGAGTCGGTTAAAGGGTTTCAGGGTTAGTTAGTAGGGTGTGACTTTCATAGCCTTCGTGTGTTCAGTTAGCAGCATATCCGAGCATGGGGGCAAGATTGCATGCAATGTGAGATGCAGTGAGTTTCCTCGTTGTAACCGATTCCGCACAGTGCCGTGCGTTGCATCTTGCCGAAGTGGTGAAGTGCGTCGTGACAAGCTGTTTGCAGGGCGTGTCGCGGCTACCAGGTTCCCAGGCTCCAAGGTCTGGCGCAAGACTGGCTGGGATCCCTAATTCAATTATTTTAATTCTCAGCGCGGGGGTTGTCCGAAAAAGCAGAGGCCAGTGTCGTGAGTCATGTTAACGCACCCAAATTCCACATGTAACCTGGTTCACATGTCGTTCTTTGCAGGCAGGGAGATGGGCAAGCGTGGTCCACGGCCGCAGCGCCAAGGAAGCTGTCAGGACCCGTGCTGCGTTGGACAGTCAAGTTTAATTAATTTGACAGCGGATCTTGGCTGTCGCCAGGATGATTCGATGCTGCGAGGGACCGCATCGACATCGACCCATCGTCGTCAAGGCCACAAGGTTTAGTTTCAAAGCACCCTGCCCTCATGTACGTTTGTGTTCTACTGCTTCTGGCCTTGAATCTGCCTCGCTGCAGACAGCTCGGTACGACCAGGCATGCTGAGTGAAGAACCTGACTAGAATGAGACCCTCTTTCAGCGAAAGAGAGTCAAGATGCAGGCTCCAAGGCTCCAAGGCTGTGAAATGAAAAGGGGGCCCCTGCCTCTGGCTCCCGGCCAAGCCTAACTGTGGTCGAAATGTTTTTTCTTCAACGGGGGACCCTCCGTGGCCTCTGGCTCCGGGCCAAGCCTAACTGTGGTCAAAATGAAAGGGGGACCCTCCTTGGCCTCTGGCCCCGTGCCAAGCCTAACTGTGGTCAAAATGAAAGGGGGACCCTCCTTGGCCTCTGGCTCCGGGCCAAGCCTAACCGTGGTCAAAACGAAAGGGGGACCCTCCTTGGCCTCTGGCTCCGGGCCAAGCCTAACTGTGGTCAAAATGAAGGGGGC